TATAATAATAAGAAATGTTTCTTGAGCACCAAATCAACATATTAGAATGATTTCTGAAGGATCATGTCACACTGAAGATTGCAAAATTTTGCTTTGCCATCACAGGAATAAATTACATATTAAAATATATTCAAATAGAAATCAGTTCTTTTAAATTGTAATAATACACAGGTTTTACTGTATTTTTCATCAAATAAATGCTGCTCTTCTGCTGGCGAGCAAAAGAGACTTCTTAATAAAATTGCACCAATCCCAAACTTTTGAGTGGTAGTGTGTACTGTATATATAAATAAAAATGTGATATATAATTTATATATTCATATTTCATACATTTATATAAAAGGTTTTTATGCAAGAAAGGTTTACTCAAAAAAAATATTTAGAAACAGAATATATGTATTATCCTTCTGTAAAACACAAAAATAGGTGCAGTTGTCAACTACAAAAAAATCTAAATCTAAAGAGTCAACAAATGGCCAAATCTCTTCAGAATAATTGACTTGGCCGAAGTGTTGATTTAATTATAAAGAGCTCGTCACTGCATATATCTGACGATTATATTCATTTTATCAGTATTTACAGGGATGATTAGTGTAAGCACATTAGCATTATTCTCTGGGCTGTTTGGCCACGTCAACCAAGAAATGTGTGATCTATTATATCTGCCGCTGACAGGCTGTTACTGCTACTACAAAGATGAAACAGCCAGCAGAAACAATCCATATATCTCTGTCAACACTCTGCTGACTTCAAACACAGTGTTGGTTTTTAGGGTCAGTCACACAGCGTTTCTGTAATTACAGTTTGCTTTGGCTGTTATCTTATAGGTGTATACCTGCCTCTGTTATGGGAGCAGAGTTTCTGCTGGAAGAGCCCTATCGCCCTGGGTTATACTCGAGGACACTTTTCCGCCTTGGTTGCCATGGAGAACGATGGCTACGATAATCGAGGCGCGGGTGCCAACTTGAACACAGACGACGATGTCACGGTCACTTTCCTGCCGCTGGTTGACAGCGAACGAAAGCTGCTGCACATTCACTTTCTGTCAGCACAAGAGGTGAGAACAGCTCTGCTGACATCAAAACACTCTGTAGAGCATGAATATTTATGAGGGTTTAAGGCCTGTTTACACTACAACAGAATTTGCAGTGTGAAAAAAATATACAAATGGATTGTCTTTTTTATTTTGTGTGGAGGCTGGGTTGTTTTGTAGCCATTTTTTATTTATATTTAAGACATCACAGGTGAATAAGGTAAAACATTTAACTAACAGATATTTTCCCCAGGTGATTAATCATAATACATTAAGACAATTGTTTTGCATTACAAGTTTTCTAAAATGTTGTGTTTAAATATGCAAATGATGCATTGACTAATTAAGTTTGTGCTAATTTGTATATATTTCAAGAACAGAAATCTGAATCTTTGATAAAGCCAAAATTCTTGTTTCATTTTGTTGACATATTAAAGTTTTTTTTAGAGAGGGGATATTTTGGATATCTCTTTTTATCACTCCATAAATAATCAGAAAATACTGTCAACGGCCAAAAAAAAAAAAAAAAAAAGTTTTTAGGAATAAAATGTTATATAAATCATGTGAATGATATATAAACAAACCCTTTTGTAAAAATCTTCAGAATATAGGTAGAAATAAACTGTAATGTTTGATGTGTGTAAGTGCTAATGAAGTGGAAATTTCAGAAAACATTTGAGAAAATGGAGAATACAGTTAATGAAAACTACATTTAAAACTAAAACCATACAAAAAAAAATTGTTACTTTAAATAAACATTTACTGGAATAAAATAATATAGAAAAGCATTTCTTTTTTTAATTTAATGTAACTTAATGTACTAAAATGACTAAAACTGAAATAAAAATGAATATAAACTATACAGACACATTAAAAAATGGTAACACTTTACAGTAAAGTTTCATTTGTTAACTTTGCATTAACTAACAATAAGCGATACATTTGTTACAGCAGTAATTAATCTTAGTTAACGTTAGTTATTAAAAATTGGTAATATATTTTATTTGAACCTCTAACTCTAGCACTTTCTATTCTATCTTTTATCTATTTATCTTCTTTTTTATTTATTTAAAAAAACACTTGTTTTTCTTTGTGTGTGTATGTATATGTGTGTGTATAATATATATATATATATATATATATATATATATA